GGGGGGGGGTCGATGACTGGGGAGGGGGGGGGAGGATCCGCCGTGGAACACGTGCACAGGGCTGAGTCTTTCAGCGTGGGTAGATAAGAACAGGAGGGACGCGTCGGGGGGTCGGGGGATCCCGCAGCATGTGTCGACAAACATATCCTGTTTTCTCGCTCGAAAACATTCCCACAGTACAATGGCGAAGGTGGTTCTACGCAAGCAGTCCACCACGTGCGGCGTGAGCTGTTGGCTACAACGGCGTTATGCTTGATGATATATCGGATTCTGCGTTTGTCCTTCGGAGACCACTGCTTGGGTCTGGTGAAAAAACCGCCCCGCCGTCCAAAACCTGATTTCGCGTCGATCTTTGTAGGTGGGGCTTTGTTTTGTGAGCGGCGGTGTTCCGTCGACCGTGCCGTACCGGAGCGTTTCGTTGGCGTAGCAATACAACCAACAACTTTGTGCATAATTTGATGGCATCATCGACGGCGCACGTATCACGAACAGCAACAACACCAACAGCCAGTACAAACGTGCGAAGGACCAGAAACCAAGACACAACCGGCACCGCATTTTGATCACGCCAACAACGCCGTTTACTGCTGCAACCAACACCAATGCTTTGCGTGTCTCGACAACAGGATAGCGGCGGCGGGTCGGGCTTCGAGGACTACGGGGGGGAGCTGGAGCTGCACAAGCTCGACTTCTCCCAGGAGACGGACGCCGCGGGCGGCGGGGGCGGCGGTGCCGGCGCGGGGACGTTGCTCGGGAAGGTCAAGACAACGTGAGTCGCTCTCCCTCGGTCCTGCCGTATGCCCATCGAAGGTGGTCGCTCGAGGGCTGGCAATGCAGGAACCGAGGCTTGGGACTACTGCTGTTGTACATGTGTCTCTGGGCTTGTGTTGGGGTATCGATGAAGGCTTCAAGAGGTCAAGACTGCTGTCACACGTCTGCCTTGTTTTCGCGTCGAAGAGCCGCTTCCCCTGTTCTCGAGTGCAAGGCGAATTGGGTTGCTTGCTACCTACCTGTGTCCACGCGAGTCGTGTGTTGCGCGTTAGGGTTCAATGGGTGTGCTGGTCTGTTAGGTTGGTCGTGTCCAATGTCACTTTCGCAGGAAAGACTACCACGTGTGGTCCCGAACTAAACTCTTGCAGTAGGTCGGTGACAAGCTCGTGTCCTCGTATTTTTTAAAGCTTTTTCTTGTTTCGTTATGTATCGTTTGGTGTTCTTTGATCACTGCTGTATTTTGTCCCGTCTTGGTTTTCGCGTGCTTTGCAAAACCGCTAATTGTTCGTTTCTTGCTGCTGTAGTGGTTTGCTTGTTGTTAGCTCACACGACATCTCTATTCATGCGCAAGAGCCCCAAGATATATAAGCGATGACTTCACACACAGCAGTGTACATGATCCGCCCGGACATTTTCCAGAAGTGTTTTCCTGACACCGCGTTTACGATTCTTGTTTGTTTTGTTTTTGTGACAGCGCCCGCTTTGCCACCCTGGCGTGGTCGGAGATGGCCACGAAGCAGGCGGACTATCCCTACGGCCTGATCGCCGGAGGCATGGGAGACGGCACGGTCAACGTCTGGGACCCCGCCAAACTCGTGGCGAGCCACCCACAGCCGCAGGTGAGATGATCAAAAGCTATAAATGCGTGTCTATGGTACTTGTATTGTGCTACGTTCGTGGCAAGGTATTGTGCTACGTTGCGGCAGAAGTAGCTCGCGAGTTGCGAGTGCTGTAGAGTTTTTCACTCGTCCCTGGTCCTCTACAGCACCACGGCTCTCACGTCCGTTCCGAGTGTTTTCACTCACCGACGGTTGGTGCCTGCTGATGCCTGCTGCTGCTGCTGCTGCTGCTGCTGCTGCTGCTGCTGCTGCTGCTGCTGCTGCTGCTGCTGCTTTGTGTGCAGGTGGCATCCGTAGCGCGGCACTCCGGGCCCGTGACGGGCCTCGACTTCAACCCGCACAAGTCGTCGTCCCACCTCTTGGCCTCTGGCGGCGCGGACAGCGAGGTGTTCGTCATGGGCCTCGATCGCCCGGACGCTCCGACCGTCTTCGTACCGGGGCCCAAGCCCAACACGGTGCGTTGTGGTGTGGTGTGGTGTGGTGCGGTGCGGTGCGGGCGGAGCGTTGATTGCCTCCCGCTATTCGCGAGTAGTGGTAGTCGTTGTTGTGGTTGTTGTCGTGATGGTGTTTGGTAGGCCTCGTCGGTTGTTAAATGCTGCCAGGTGTTGTTTCTCGTGGCACGTTGCTCACCCCTCCTCCTCCTCCTCCTCCTCCTCCT